AAGTAAGCTTACAGCAGTGTCATCTTCTTTGTAAATCTTGATTGTCTTGTCAGCTTCCGCTGTGATCAACCTGCTGCCACTCTTGTCAAAAGAACATGCAAATATTCCTGATTCGCTGTCCAGGGAGCCTGGTTGGGCTACAGCCTGCATACGTTGGAAATTGTATCCTGTCCTCCAGTCCCAGAAAAACATAGATCCGTTGTCACCTTTTGAAAAAACAAAGTATAGATGGACTTTTAATATCCTGGATAATTACTACATTAACTTAATGATGATAGATTTTATAGTGCATTATGCTAAGGCACCTAACATCTTAACATTACTTTTACCCTGGTCACTAAATTAAACATGTATGGAACATATAAGCAGCTCCCTGGGGGAGTGTTCCATTGACGTTGCATTTGACCCCTACCAGGTACAAAGCCAATTCAACAAAAGGATGCTCATCTCAGAACATGACATAATTCTGACATCGAAATTCTACGCGTCGCGCGCCCCCACACGCATTACTGAGTTTAACTTGCCCTGATTGTAACAAAAACCATGGCAACCAATCGACAATAATTGCCGGCGTGTGACGAATTACCCATGCGTATTTCAGTTGCCATGATAATTGCATGTCGTGCGGTGATTACACAAGCTTAATGATTTTTTGCATTGAAAATATATTTGTTTCAACACTAATTTTACCGATGAGGTGGTGTCCGGTGGTTCATGAGAATTTTCTGTATCTACTCAAATGTTCGTTTTGTGCACCTTATTCCAACATTGTCAAAATGACAGTTTAATGTTATATAATAATGTAAACTTTTATATAAAATCTTAAATTTTCATTTGCTACAACTTCATATTTTCTTTTGTCAATTTTCAGGAATGAAATTGTAACAGACAGTGCAAAAGTACCCAAAATGAGTAAAACAGTAACGAATACCATAAAACGTATGGCATGCATTAATTAATAACTGACGACTGTACACGCAACTAGATTGTCGATGCCAAAGTAAAATTCAAAGGACTGTAGGCACATGCTATGTTTGCAAGTGGAGATGAGCGTCTTTTTGTTGATTTCCTTGCAGGTACCCACTTATACTCTTGGGTGGAGATAGACAATGTGAATAACCAGGATAAAGTAACTTATCCAAGGACAAAAGCGAAATCCACAACAAGGATACGAAACCCAACCTCAAGGTTGAGAGTACAAGACACAACCGTTGCATCAACCTACTCCCACTGGAGCAGTTCAGGTCATCAGCCTATATGCCTGGAAATCCTACTCGGTGGTCTTGGTGGCTGCTGGTATGCAAAACTCACTTAGGCGGCAAGATAGAGCATGTGGCTCCTCAGCGTGTAAGATCGGAAGTTCGAGACCAACGCTCATCGCTTTGCTTGTGTCCTTGGGCAAGACACATTACTTACGTTTGCCTCTCTTCACCCAGAAGTATATAGGGGGGAGGGGTGTCATGCTGTTAACCTGCTCGTTGGTGACCCTGCTTTGACTGTTCCAGTCAATTAATAACAGCAATTAGTATCGATTATACGCGATTATACGCTAAAAGGACGCTACATTAAAACTAACTGTGTAGCTCTTGCCATTCGTACAAACGACTTAGCAGCAATATTTTGTCTGTGCAGTTGCACTTGCATAAGTCATATCCAAAATGACTTTGAAAAACTCTTTGACCTTAGATAATTCGACTTACAAATGGTTTATTAACGGAAAACACAACAATTTGGCATGCCAAATAAGAAATTATTCGAGTTATGCAAAGTCAACATAGACGAGTATAACTGTATAGAAAAACAAAAACAAACAATCTATTATACATGAATACAATTCACAAAAAAATGTGACTGACCGCCAGAAACCATGACCCCGTCAGGATTGACTGCTAGGCAGTTGATGATAGCATTATGTCCATTTAAATTCTGCATGAAGTTGCCTTCTGGAAACTTCCACTGTTTGATATTGTCAGGAGAAGCTGAAGCCATCATATATCTGGAGCATTCATGAAAGAAAATCCAATTAAAACAATAATAAGTATTTACAAATCATTAAAATTATCAAATCAGTATCATCAATTATCATTCAAAAACAAATCATTCAAGTTCATTGACCCCCCATGGACAGAGTTCCAAATTCTGTTTCCATGAAATACAAACTGCCTCCCTTTCCAGATTCAGTTCTAGAAAATGGCAGAGCAAAACCTCCAGTCAAACTCAATTTAGTGTTGTGGTTATGAACTCTCTCCAGGGGGATAAACACGATAATAAGATATATGGGAACGATAGATGTAATAATGAAAAAAATAATATATGAGATGTTGTAATTTGCAGTTACATATTAATAAAATATACTTTATACATACAAACATAATACACATTTAACAATTTGATTAATGGAGAAAGAAATGAATGATTTGAAGTAACATACTGTTATGTTTGACACCAACCATAACTATACCATTGACAAAAAGGATACAGAACTTATATAAATCATATTGGTCTAATTCCCAATTAGTAGTATTTTGTTTCGAGTATTTTTATTTGAGTTAAATGAATGAATGATCGAATAAATGGTGGTTACTATTAAAGACACATTATCTACAATTTCTTTAAATTTGTTCACAATTCAACATCCAATACAAGACTCGTCTAATTCAAGACATTATTTTCAAAGTACCAACTAACAACAAGAAAGTATAATACATACTCCAAGTTTTGAAATGCACTGTGTTGTGATTCAATATTTCAACATTAATTATGTCATAACCAGGAATCAACCAACAAACAATCTTCTATCATTTTTAAACACAGCAAACCCTCAAAGTGGGACCGCTCCACACTTTCAGGATCCGAAATGTGGTCTCGAATCGGTAGGCAAACTATATGTTTCATAGTACAAGAGTTTAAGGACTACTGCAGAAAATGTTTACTTACAGCTTAGGGTGAAGAGCAAGGGCCCTGACACTCTTCTTATGGTTGGTGAGAGTAGCCCTAGACTTACCAGCTGCCAAGTCCCATAACCGTATCGTAGCATCATGACTTCCGCTTACAACCTGCAGACAACAAACACAATACTAATAATCATCAACAAACAAATCCATTAGCCAAAATTCATTTTCGGTACTATACCGAATAGAGTATGGGAGAGTACATCCTAGCCAGAATTCCAAGCATAATATCTTAAACCTTCAAATAACTTCAGAACAGAGTTTATCATTAAGTGAAGCCAGTCTCATTCTTATTGTTGGATCATTTTTTCGGTACTATAGACATCGGTATAGGCCGTGTTTTCACAGCACTTCTTATCAGATAAATTATCGGAAAACAGCCATTTTGTTATTTTTCGCTGTAAAAACGGGGCCCAAAGTTTTTGCAAGAGAATCAGAAAATTTATTGTAAAAAGTTCTGAATGTGAAAATAAATAACATTTGACCGATGTCAAATCATGGTCATGCAAAGAATTATTTTAGTTAGTTAGTTTCCAGTGTGATTAGTAGCCTAGGGGCCTAGGCTAGTATCAAATACTTCATAAGAAAAAGTACATTTTTTATGCTTAATAAATATACAAAAAAAAGGCCTAAAACAACTGCACTCGATGTCGACGGTGCCTTGCTGTGTGCCTAGGTCTATCTCTACCTATTGTATACTGTCGTAAAGCACACCAAAAACAAAGCTAGCATTTTTTTCGCCTTCTTAATCCCTATGAAATATCAATGTGACAGTCTAGGCCTCTCCATCTTGCGCCAAGAAAGGGTTCACCAGCTGGTCAACAAAACGGAAGTTTTGATGTTGAGCACATTGCATTGTTGTCCATAATGTAATGATAAAGTATTTGGAGGGAATTTTAAGATAATTTATCGGAGAAATTAACAGAGAAATGTGCTCTGGAAACAGACCATTAACAACTAGCCATGTTATGACATGCTAAATACTAATATTACACTGTTTGGATAATTTAACATGGACAAACACAATAGGAACATTTAAAAATGTGATCAATCTTAATACCATTTCTCACACAGTATAGAGCCAGGGTAAGAACTGCAAATAACAAAGGATGGACTAAATACTTATTAATCTTTTTTAAAAAAAAAACCAATAAAGCCAGAGGTAAAACAAGCAGAATACAATTATTACAGTATATAGTAAATATACTGGTGAAATTTTAATCACATAATTTGGTGAGTTACAGCATTTGCAAATTATCTAAGTGTGTACCTGAGGCTCTGCCCCTTGACATTTGACATCAGCCACTGTATTGGTATGACCTGTAAGTGTGTGGATGCATGCCTTTGTACGCATGTCCCATACTCTGATGGTAGCATCACGACCGCACGTACACAGTATGTCTATGGTAGGATGAAGATCCATGGCATAGCAGGCACTCAAGTGACCGTGATAATGACGTATAACCTGCAGTGGAAAACAACATTTTTACACAATGGTTATCGTAACCTCCTTTTTATTTTGGTCATTAGGTTACAGCCCAACTCCAACAATATTATTAACAATGTATCTACCTCTGTCGGGCTGTCTGTATGTCTGTCTGCCTGTGGTGTGTTTGTCCTTCCCCTGAAGGAAGGGAAGAGGGTATTGCAATGAGCTTCCTCTGTGTGTCACAGGGATGTAGTTATAGTGGGCGGAGCCACCCAGCCTTGAAGTTTTCCACCCAGTCTAAAGCTAATTTCATGGCCTTCCACCCACCCTTATTAAACCTTCTTTTCCCTCCTTAAAATCCACCCATATTATCTAAAGTTTACCAATGTTATAATGCACCCACCCTCAAAATATCTATCCCCACCCTTAGTTTTTGTTAGCTACAACCCTGGTGTTTGTCTGCCTGTCGGTCAGCAAAATAAAAAATAATATTGGAATGGTACAAAAAAATCTAAGAGATATTTAAATTTTGGGAAAAGGTCAAAGGACAAGGTCACTGAGACTCATTGCCAAACACTACAGATGGAATAGATGGATGGCAAATTATTTTTTTTATTGAATATTACTGTATATACCATTCAAAATCATTATTACTATTGTAAAAAACCTTAAATCTGTGAGTAGCCTTGAAATCCCTTGATTTTTTTTACCCATAGTAAAACTAGAAAATTACAAATTATCTGTGGGTCTCACAGTCCATCTGTATAAGTTGGCAACTATGATAAACTGAATATTATACCTAACCTTATTCTGTTCCAGATCCCAGCACTTCACCATTTTGTCTTCACCACAAGAGAATAAATAAGGCTGACGTTCACTGACAGCTAATCCTCGCACTGCACTCACGTGGCCAGTGAGTGACAGCTTCAACTTGCCTGATGCCTGCAATACACAATAATTTACATGAGCAAAAATACTAGAATGCATTTAAGTGTGTTCATCAAGAAACTTAAATAGTACTCAAATTTCATTAGGTTTATGATGTTCTTGAAAACATTAATATAATTACCAAATAATAACAAATAATATTATCAATAACAATAACAATACTATTTAAAATAACGCTAAAAAGAAAAGATCGACGTTTCACCATTCAGGGATTAATATCCCACTGTTATGAACTTTGACATTGTAGATTAGCTTTTTTCTATTGATTATAGTTGCTGTATATTCTATACTTCATCATTTGATCTTGAAAATGACACCATGAAGGAGTCGAAACGTCGATCTTTTCTTTTTAGCGTTATTTTTACATTAAATATTTATACAAAACGTACTCTTATTAAACAACGACAACGACAACAACAACAATAATAATAATTATTGTTGTTTATAAAATGATAATATCACTAAACTGAAGTAATAATCAAAGGCACTGCGCATGTTTAGATTTTAAAAAGTTGTGTTTTGTCTTCGGTCTTAAAAATAGCAACTGAAGTTTGAGTCGGTAATGTGTTTTGGGAGAGAGTTCCAAAGTGTGGCAGCTGAAAATAAATATGATATGTGGCCGTAGAATTTAGTGTTAACTGTTAGAACAATGAGTTGATTAAGGTCATAAGAATGGAGGGAAGATAAGGAGAATATTTAAGGAGGAGGTCGAGTAGGCAATTGGGACGTTGGAGTCGCAGTGCTTTAAATGTTTCACTGTTTCATGGTTTGTTGGTAAATTTGTTATAAACATCATGAATATCTTTAAGAATTTGGAATTGATATACTGTATCACATCTCACAAAACATCTAAAAAAAAATGCCAACCTATTTGTTATGTTCATTACAATTCAATAATAAACAAAGTGATTCCTTTGTTTATTATTGAATTGTAATGAACATAACAAACAGGTTCATTACAATTCAATAATAAACAAAGTGATTCCTTTAAATCGAAAACAGAATCTAAATAACGAACATAATTATGATGATATTCTTATAATGATAAAAATTAAAATTTAAAGATTATTATAGTTCTAACAACAATATTATATATTATTTAATATATATATTTAATATTATATATTATTTAATGCTCTGATATGTTAAATGTCCCTATCAGTGTTCTCCCAATTGAAATATTTTTACTCGTAAATTTGTCCATAGAAATTCCACTATGCACGCAGTGTGAAGCATTATCCCTTTTGAGTGGCGTTTAATGACTTGAAGAAACAACAACACATATAATCATACCTAGGCCTAATCATATTTTTACAATCTCAACATTTTCACTCGTTGGCCAGTTATTTATAACATTAAAACTGATGGTTAAAATGGCTTCTGGAAAGCACTGCCTATACAGTACCTCTTACACACTGATTCAACTTTTTTTTCTAATTGGTTCGGTATGCTTCCCGAGCTGAATAATTGGATTCGGTGTAAATGCACCTTAACTCATAGAAAAATTTGAAAGACAAATTAATTTACTTGTAACTACTGTAGGAAGTGAAGAGGTGTAGCTACACTGGCCTTGAGTGCAACTACTGATTCTGTGGTAAAAACCGATATAATAATATCAACAATATATTTACCAAATCCCATATTTTGATCAGCCTGTCCCCAGCTCCTGTAGCAAACCAAGTGTTGCCCGGTTCAATGGCGATGGAGCGCACCCATCCAAGATGGCCGCTGATCACTCTGTATAGTTTCCATGGCGGATGCCACTTGGGCTTTGGCATCGTTGGTGCTTTCCTGGGAACCAGCGCTTGAGAATTCTTTGTTCCAGAAACAGCAACAAGTGCCTATTACAAAAAATGTAAATAGAAATAACAATATAATAACAATAATAATATAATAGTATCTTTCTTTATTCATGGTTAAACTTGACTCAACAAAAATTTAATTTTTTTTTCTCAACAAGGCCGTGTCCTTAAACTAATGAAGTAAATAAATCTAACAAAATTACATATTAAATTTAATTAAAACATTTTAGACCTACAATCATACAGTACATGTTGATGAAGTACATAGAAAAGTAAAGACCCATTTGTAATATCTGTTAATAGTGATTGTTAGATCTCAGATGACAAGTAATCATGGACGGTCTGATACCATTGTTAGACATATGTACAAATGTGTAATTAAATATTCATAATGTTAGAATTTTATAGTGTTCATTTATCTGGGATATACATTCAACTTTGAATCTTATGTCTTAACTCAAAAAACTGTGCAAGCTTGCCAGTTATACTGCGACCCACTATTGTTAAGAGGGAAAAGGGGCATAACCCCCGTTTTTCAACCTTTCATCCAGTTTTTAAATATTTAAAAATCTGTAAAAATCTGTATCTCAACCATTCCCAGTTGTACAACATATAAATTTTTATTTCATTGGAGTCTGGTTTTCATAATAATTAATTTTGTGTGAATACTGCAAGTTAGTACCTTTGAAGGACCTGTGCGTTGAGGTATTCCAGCTCTTCTCTGGATATCATCGACACTCACTGCAGTTCTCTGCCTATCTAACCTAAATAAAAAAAAAAGCATTATTCATGCTAGAAAATCAACGCCATTCACAATTACATTACAATACTACAATACTACAATACACACATTAGAAACAGTGGTCGTCTGTGGGTGATATATGGCAGCTATCTTTTTGGAACTTACCTAAAAAAATAATAGAATTGTCTGACCAAGATAGCAGTGCGTATCTAGGAATCTTCAAAAGGGTGAAGAGGGCTGATGGGCTGATGGAGGCGCAAAGGTGAAGTAGGGTGCTTAATGATTAGGTCAGGGGGTGCTATCTCGCAAATTAAGGAATTATTGAGGTGATTGTTTTTTTTGGTTTTTTTTGTGGGGGGAAGCAACTCCCTCCACCCCCTAGATATGACACTGCCAGGTAGCGCATGCAATAAGCTCAATTTTTCCAATTTCTTTATGTACATAGCTTAGAGACCTTGTTTAACTGCACTTTACAATTTTACCTATTATTATTATTATTATTATTATTATTATTATTATTATTATTATTATTATTATTATTATTATCATATTAAATTATTATTGAATCTGCAATGAGCCACTCTTGCTGGCCTGGAATATCTCTGCTAATTATAGCAAGATCTTGCTGAAAGTCTCCCCTTACAGAGGAAATTACCGTACTTTGACAGATCTTTCACAATACTATAGTACTCCTAGTATTACTACAGTGCTAACTACTGGCCTAATACTAATATTATTAGCCAGAGCCTTAAGGGCATACATATCACGTTGATAAGACGTGTATTCGTTACTGTCAGATTATAAACTGGAATATTACGGTTCAACCAGGTATTATTCATGAAATAGTCAATGTTCCACAATTATATATTTCACGATTTTGTTTATAACAGGTGAAGCAGAATACTTACATAAAAAATCAAATGTAAAGTGACGAATAAAGTAAAAACTCTATTAAGTGGACACCTGAAAAAAGTGGAAAAGAAAAGTGTCCCCTTAATATAGATGTCCCCTGAAAAGGGATTGGATGTAGTGTTAAAAGATTTACGTTCCTCCATTTCATGGCTGAAAAAAGTCCCCCTTAATAGGGGTGACTCCTTAATATGGGGTGTCTCCCTAGAGATGTCATAGAGGAGAAGTTTTACTGCATAACATAAAGTACAGCTTACTGTGATTGTGAAGGTGGTAGTGACCGTAGGACTGAATTCACTCCATCTGTGCTTAACTCTCTGTGCTGGGCAGCTGTGTCTGCACTTAAACGTACACCTGTAGCAAATGAGAAATTATTTCAGTAACAAAAACGTCATCATATAAAATACTAAATCTGAGCCACGTTCTGGAGGAAAATGAAATATGATATGTTGTTCAACTGATTTTTCTAAGAAACAAAAAGCATATTTGATAAAAAATTGGGAACCCATTTTCACCTTTAACCCCAGTTTTTAAATATAAAAAAATCTGTGTACATTAGCCGCTCCTAAGTTTTTCGTCAAATATGCTTTTTGTCTTAGAAAAATCAGTTGTACAATAGTGTATATATATATATATATATATATATACCTGCTTGTATGTAAGATATTACAAGATGTGTAATGAAGTAGATCTAGCATTTAGTATTGTTAGTGATATGTAAACGAAAATTATAGGATCATTTTTTTATTCCATTTTTTTTACTAAACAAAAAAGTTTTTAGAAAAAAAACATATTTGAACCCATTTCTGAATATTAATCCAGATAATCTACCAACTTAACTATGAGGCCAAGTTGTATACACCTGTATATTCCCACTACATTTATTTTTTTTCCCGTAAGGGTATAGTAATACTGTACCATGCAATGAATAAAGATAAATCATATGAAATTTAGTATAGATAAAAAAAACCCATATACTGGAAAAAATGTTTATTCTATTATTATGGTTTTAACATAAGACCTTCCCATTTTAGTTTGGATACTCTACCACCTGAGATATGAGGCCAAGTATGAATACAACACAATGAATACATTTTTTAATTAGGACAATTTTCTAATGATATTGTATAATATGCAATAAAAAAATCTCATGATAGCAGTGACAATTCAACTTACCAGGTTCATTTGGAAATGGGTGTCCAGTTGTTATTTGTGTCTCTAAATCTGAATCAGCTGGATTTTCTGAAATTGATAAAATAAATTAAACTATCTAGTTCACCACTTATTATTAATAATTGGTTGCTTTATGCAGTATAGTATCTTTGGTATGATGTGACCAATGAAAGAAGAAACAAGGTATGTACTGTAAACTAGCTCAGTCAGCTAAACTGGTGGCTGGTAGCCGCTGTGTGTGCGCTGAACCGTGGAGATCTTCAAGTCCCCGGTTCGATTCCCATCGCTGTTTTCCTTGTGTTTCTACTGGAGGGCTGAAATACAAGTTCCGAAAGCGCGCTGTCTTTTCGGATGAGACGTTCAAGCCATTGGTAAAGTGTGCAAAATGGCCCACGTGCAACGTTAAAGAACGCAGCTGTACACTCTTCAGAAAAGAGTGGGGGATTGTCTTCCAGTTTATGGACCAACTCACCACCAGAAGGAGACTACTGGAAATATGTCTCAGGACTTAATGGGTTACCTTTAGAGTATATATCACATCCAAAGAAATCCCTACCAGACGTGTTATCATACATGAATGCTCAGTTCCCAAATACTTATTAAGGTACGCTAAGTAATATCATAACTTATAGATGATTTTATAAAATGAAATTAGAATTTAAAATTTTTTTAGAGTGCTGTCTCCAGAATTACCACCAACAGTTATCATTTTAATAAAAAGTTTAAATTTTGGCAATTTTCTTTTATTTTGTTTCTAAATTTTGTTTAATCTAGTATATTTTTACTGATGGTCTGACATGGGGAGTGGGGCACTTGTATAATTTGAGGAATTGATTTTAGCATTTAAACATAACTTCATTTTTTTTTTCTGAAAAACATGGAATATCTGACAGTATAATGGAATACAATCTAAGCAATCTATATTAATAGCAATTAACAAACATATTATTCTTCATTACCATGTAACATTTTATTGATAGATTGCGTCTCCCGCCTTACAGGCTCAAGTGAGCTGTCTTTGCTTGCCATCAACTGTTTCACCAGACCATACTCATCCTTTGCTTTGCAACTCAACTTGGCAAGTTCACTGAGGATAAGGAAAGAATTACAATTTTAGAAAAGGACATAAAAAATAAACAATCAACCTCAATTTATTTGTCCATGTTTTTTTTCTTTTTTTTTTTCATTTTCTTGTTTTTTTTAGTTCTTCCAGCTGCCATGCATCTCAAATTGCTGGAGAATAGTGCTGTGTTACTTGGTCATTATTAATTTTTTTTAAATTCTTTGGTAAATGTTTCTGATTAGTTTTTGAGGATAGTTCATGGGTTAGTTAAATTCTCTTCTCTTTTTCATATTCCTTTAAAATGCTTTGAGGTGACTTTTTAATGATCATATGGTGTGAGCCTCACGCTTTTCGACCAAACCTTAAGCTCTCAAGCCACTCACCTAAAATCTCACGCTTTTCCACTAATCTCAAGCTTTATTTTATTAAACCTAAATTTTTGATCAAAATACTCGAAATCTTCGCAATTCATTAGTTTATCTGGCCTAGAATCATCAAAAATGCTATCGTTCCTATTCTAGCTACAAATTTTTAGGTTTAATGCACTAATCTATTCAGAGTGCACCAGAGAGCATCTAAGCCTACAATTTTTCAAGGCTCTTGGCGGGCCCACGACCCACGCCAATTGGGTTTATTTCCTGTTAAATCTCAAGCCACTAGCTACCTCCAACTTGGCATTTATGTGATATGCTTGCTGGAACAATAAGGCCACAGTGTAAGGTAATTCCTGCGCAGACATTTTGTCCTCCACGCAAAAATTAGGCATATAAATTTGTGTGAGCATTTCAGAAAATAAGGGCCGATTTGCTCGCAGACTTTGCCAAAAATTATGCTTTGATCTAATTTTAATATTAACCAGTAGCAGCTGTTACTACTGCAGCTAATATTCTGCTCACATAATTTCCTAGCGATTTTCCATGCCAAATTTGAGCTAGTTTTTGAGGCATTTATCTGTGCAAAACTTTACAGTATTGATGGCAATAAAGTTTCCAACATCAAAATCCTACATAATTTTGTTGTTATTAATAATTTATTATTATTACCTGGCTTCATTTAAATCTGGTGGTTGAATGTTATCTGCAATGAACATATCATGCGACCTCTTCAATGAACGAAACACAAGCGTATGAACAGAATGTTTTGTCACTTCTGGCTAAAAAAACAAAAACAAAACAGAATTACAAACATTTTTTAGCTAGGCTAGGAGTCTAGCTATGCAGACCGTGGCCTAGCCCAGGGAGCCTTCTTAGCAAGCCAGGCCTAGTTTTATCAAGACACAGGATGCAGAAGGTATAATGCAAGTTGACAATGAGTATCTCTAACGCACTGACATTTGCAGAAACGCGTTCAACCATGATCTTCATAATAGGCCACACACACACTAAGTATGTTACATTCCATCAAGAAACTTATTCTAAAATATTTAAGGCAAAACACATGAAGGCTAATGAACTTAAAAATTGTAAAATAAGAACGGAAAAAAAAATAAATATCTGATTTTAATATTACTACTGTATGATGTTATAGTAATATACACAATTTTACATTTATTATTGTTATCATTATCATATAATAATTATTGATATAATTATATTGTAATGTAATAGGCCTTATCTATTTAAATTATGTACATAATAAAAATGGAAACTTTAAAAAATATATACAGTTCTTAATACAAAATAAGATTGAAATAAAGAACACCACCTGAGCGTCCATTGCACAAAATTAAAACAAAATAGTTTTTAAAAAAACAAACACACAAGCACGTTCAGATATTGTAGAACCGAAGCTGTAACCTTTGCTCTTTGAACTCATATAAAAACGTTTGCTGGACAAAGAGGCTAGTTATCGTGACGTCATAGTTGCCAAGTTTACTGTAAACTCTAAGCTGAGAGACTGACGGACTTCAGTCTGATTTCTCGAAATATCGAAGATTTTAAGTTGCCCTTGTGTTGTATCAGGCAATTACCATGGTATGCCTAAGCCTTGTTGTTTTTAAGTAAAATATTTGGTGTAGTTTAGGCCTAGGCTAGCCTAGAAAGATTGATCAGTAACAACAATTGTTTGTGTAGGCCTAGGCCTAGGCCTCCCTGGGCTAGCCTAAGCCTCTCTCTAGCTACCTATCTAGGGCCGAGTCCTACTAGGCCTACTACTAGGCCTCTAGGCTCTGTCTCTTATACACATCTAGATGTGTATAAGAGGCCTAGGCCCTAGGCCTACTCTACTGTGTCTGGTTGGTGGTAGTTAGGCCTAAGCTAGGCTTTGCCTAGTAATTAGTAAGTAGTAGGCCTAGTAGACTACTGACAGTAGTAGACCCAACTTTTTTATGGAGTATGGTCGGAGCGGCCGCGAGGGAAAGCGGCCGCGAGTCGATACGCAGCAATTTGTATGGAGCGCCAAGCGTGCAGTATGCAAAATGTATGTTGGACAAAGGGCATCAGAGTTCAATATTAATACTGTTTTAATCAATTATCAAATTAATGTATATTTTCTTTCTTAATTTATATATAGCCTATATAAATCGAGACTTAATATTTAGTTAGTTTGTTTATTTATTATATCAAATATTATGATTTATAGTATGCCTATTTTCTTACAGAAATCGATGGTACTTTTTAAATCGCTTCTTTAGTTTATTTATTCGAATTTTACTATCTTGTGTTCAGTTTGTTCTTTAGTGAATGAACATCTGTTTGTCATTGCATTTGAAGATGATTGATAAGAAATAATAATAAAATAGTTATAATAATAATAATAATAATAATAAATTAATAATAATAATGACAATGTACAGTATCACTAAGTGTAGACCTAATTTCTTTATGTTCATCACATTTTATTACATGGTAAATTTAGTATTGACAGATCCCATGTTTGAATCCGTTACGTGTGTCCTGAAAGAAATATAAAATAAAAGTTCATTATACATAGAAATCCAAACTGATAACATATAATAAATTTATTTAATCATATCATAATTCAACTATGTCATGTACATACAAAAATGTTTCGATCTGTAAATCAATCTGTAAACAAATCGATCTTTAATTAACCAGAAGAAGACTACGAGAAATGAAAAATATTCAATTATGAAAATTATACATTGATTTCTCTTTATTTCGAAACACTTGCCTGATCAAATAAAACTGAGTGAAACATAATAGATATTGACGAGTACGATATGAACGCTATTGACCAACGCTATACCGTACCGTATCCCAATCAATCGGTATAGCGCTACTGGCGTTCCATACATTTTGAGCGCGGCCGCTTTCCCTCGCGGCCGCTACGACCCTAATCCCTTTTTTATGTTACATTGTAGTCCTAGGGCCTAGGCCCTACACTAGGCCTGCTGTATGTATTATGATTATGTAGCCTAAGCCTAGAACATATCAAACAACAACACAGTATTATAATGTTTGTCTGACCATCCGCTCAAATTTGCGCCTTATGTTAAATTTTAATATACTGTTTTTTTCGAGGGGCCTATAAGCATCGTTTTGCTTGGCCTCTATACCCAGGAGGATCCGACTGTAGAAGACTCTCTTGGGATACAAGTAAACTAGCATAACTGAAATGACATACAAATGCAAATAAATCAGTTTGCATAACATTTAACTACATTCATAAAACTGTGCACTGTATTTAAAAAGAAGTGAATATATTTACGTCACCGTAAACAAATCAATAAACGATATATTTACGTAAATGAAACAACGGATGTACAGTTATACTTTAATAAACTTGCATTTTCAGCACTCAACATAGCATGGCCTCCCAAGCCGCAGTGATTCCCCCAAGTTCACCATGGCACTAATTAATTGATAATTTTGTTTTTTATTTTTTATTAAACGTAATTTAATTTTCTACAACAGCAGAGTATGTTGCTTAACCGCTAAATATATTATTAAACTATTGTGTTAACTTTTCAAATAAAAGTGATATTATCTGGAAATGTTATGTTCATTTATTTTTACTCAATCATTTGTTGAATGAACACACTTGACCTAAATACAAGGCCTAGGCCTACACGAGGTTTAATTGCAAAAAATCAATTACCACAAAATCAAGACGATATTCTTCTAGGCCTACTTGTATTGTTATAAGATAATCAGTCATCACAAATTAATCTTAATGTTTTCATTTACCCATGTCGTCACTAACAAAAACAACATCGTTATAGTCTTTAGTCGGGTCAAAATTAAACAATGAATAATAATATGCGTGTATATTTTCTGTAATATATTTAATCATTACGGAAAAAGTGAGACCAGGGAGATGTAAAAAATACATAAAATACATCTCCCTTTTAAGACAAAACAAATATTTTTAATGTTTTATTTAAATATATTTTCCCATCTAGTCTGATCACTAACAAAACATTGGCATGCTGTGCATGTGTCTACTAAGTATGGATGCAGAACGTGGAATAAACAGCCTCGCTCGACGTTGTGGTCATAATGTGAGACAGTGAAACTAATACTTCTAGCTCATTATCACAATCATTCAATTATTTTATTTAATTAAAATACATAGGCTACATACTGTAGCATATTTAATTACGTTATAGTAAGAACGGTATAAAATTATAATTTAAGTACTGTACCTATCCGCTAGTCATAAACTGTTTACAAAAATTCATTCAACCAATCAATTTGGGGATTCCCCATGTGCGTTGATTTTGTTGATGTATTTTAACATGACTATAATAAATACGTCCACGTTTGAAGATTTGATTTTCGTGCACCGTGGATTCATGGTACAGTACATTCATAAATTTAACTTGCCAAAAAAGGGGCTTCAGCAAAAGGCCGGTGACAAGCCAAACCAGTCACTCATCGCAAATCCTGTTTTGGAGATAATGGCCAAAACATGCTGGAATTTCAAAATTTTGGAAATCTATTTTATTGCACTAAACTAACCTTTATATATCTATACATCATGCTATGCTGTTATTTTCCTCGTTTTCAATGTTAAAACAACAATTTTTAACGATTTGGTAATGGTTTCTGCCTAAGAAATGCCTGAAATCGTAAACTTTGAAGGCTGATTTCTCAAATATTGTTCTTTAAACAGCTGTATGTTTAAACTCGTGTAACTTCATAACGAAGTGACGGATTTAAATGATTCTTTTTCTTTTACCATTTTATAGCTCTCATTTTACTGGTAAACCCTGTATTAATAACTAAAAATTGATTTTTCGACGAAAGACTGGTTTGGCTTGTCTTTGCCACATTTGGAGTCTGAAAGTTGAACTCACGTTAACGTATATTTAACGAGAATCGATAAATTTATGTGACCGATAATGCAAGTTTATTAAAGTACGACTTCGCATGCGTTGTTTCATTTACGTATCGTTTACTGATTTATTTACAGCGACGTAAATATATCCACTTCCTATTTAAAAAGCTCAGACAATCTGGCAGTTTATTACTGATTGCAAAATGACAGCAGCTCGTCGTGCTAGCGAGCACACAAATGCTGTATATCTAACAGTATTCTGACATTGATAAAGGTACATTGTGAGTCGTTGAACCATGTAAACATGTTTTATAATGATATGTTATGACTATGGGAAAAACGTTGAGGTAGAAATAATAAGAATTCAAGGTTAGGTGCGAAAGTGCATAGTGCCACTAAGGCCTAGTTAGTTGTTTCTGTTAGTCGGCCTCATAGACTAACCTATGAGTTGTGTTGCGTCAAGGTGCAAGAAGGGTGATATAAGCTTTTAACATAACATTCTCATGCATGTAGGTTATCCAACCTACAGTTACTAGTTAATCCTGTTGCACCATCGTACTGGAATGATATCCCATGGTCACCCAGGTATATATTGTATTTTATTTTTTAAGGGGAAATATACTAACTCCATAGCCTGCTTCAGCAAAAAAAACAAAAAAAACCAAAAAAATTATTCAATATCCATTTTTGTTTTAGTCTAAAACCATTGGAGTGAAAGTTGTTGCAAGATGTCGGCCATTTACAGATACCGAACAGGGAAAAGGAGCAAAACGAATCATCAAAATGAGCGGAGATAAAACAACTGTTCAAAATCCACACGGAGAAGGCTCTGGGCAGGTCAGTTTTTATTTATTTTTTCTTCATTATACAATTGAGAAAGTGTAATCAGTGGTTTATAATTGTCTATAATACCATTGTAAATAATTATTGTTGATGCGGATAATTGCCCTTGATGGCATTCGTAGCTAATAAAATTGAATTGAATTGAAATTGCACCAGTGGGGTGTCAAGGAGGGCATTTTCTCCCCGTTGGACAGGCCTGGACTCCCTGTTGTCCGACGCTATGCAAAAAGATCGTTGGCCAAAACTTATGTTACTTGCCTTTCCAAATAACTTTAATTTTGATTGCTAATCCCTAATATTTTGGTCTAAAAAAGTACAAGTTTGAGCAATACTAAAGCATAAACACTTACCATGAACCCAACCACAGATTTTTATTCCAGAACCCAAACCATGGCTCTTGGTTTGGACCCTCCTACCGGCAAATTTATGCAGCCATTGCTGGCTTAGGACAAAAGCAATTAAAAAGAATAGAATCCACCAGAACAAAAGTGATTTGACCACAGATTTTTCCATAAAAAAATAAAAATAGGGGTCGACAATAGAGCAAGATTATGCTAATACGGAGCAGATTGCATAAAAAAATGAAATGGTTTTAAACAAGGAATCTTAACTGATTGTTTTACGACAAACCCTTTATCTGCCATTGCCTTTTTCGCTAAAATCACGACGTGTTTTGAAAATCAAACAACCACTTGTTGGTATCTCATGTGTTTTACAGGCACATCATGCTTGCTCGGTCCCATCACATGTTGAATGGAAATAAATTTAGGCCTACTTTTCTGAGGCCTAAAAAATGCTTTAATATGCCTAGTAAATTATCATATTTTGAATGTCTTTTTTACAGGAACACACATTTGCATTGTCATCTAGTTATTTTTGGGATGCCAGATCAGTAAGTACCATATTTAAGATATTCGTTTTATTGTTGCTTTTATACATCACTGGACATATCAATGTTCCCATCTTACTGGAAGACAGTAAAAACAATAACAGGATATTGCACAGCAATTTAAATGACAGTGTTACATTACTGTACAAGAATACACAAATTACGTAATTATATACAAAGTTGGTCTTTGTTTACCTGTAATTTCCTAAGTTGTCGTAGGTTCATAGCAAGGAAGTTCTCATCATACCTAATTTGAAAGTACCGGTATTATGACCATAAACTAACACATGGATGAGGAACCAAATCAAAGTTACAGACATAATTATGGAAATAATAAAAAGCAGGAAATGTATGTGGTCAGGTCACATCAGCCAAAGGTTGGAGAACAGATGGAGTACAATGCTGACAGTTTGGATGGTAAAAGAAATAATGGAGAGACGAAACACAACAATATTGGGGATACGCCAACTGGAGTGAGAGATCGAGACCTCTTGAAGCAACATGCAGTAAAGTGGTTTGCGCAGTTGGAACGGTTTGGTTTCCCAACCTCGAGGTCGGGGTTTTAATCCCTTGCTGTGCATTTCACTTGTGCCCCTGGGCCAGGCACTTTTCTGCATTGCTTCTCTCCACCCAGGAGTGTAAATGGGAACCTGGTAGGGTTAAATGCCAAAATGCGCTAATGTAGCTACTGCAGCGTTATGGAATACTCCCCCAGGGAGCTTGAGTTTCTGTTCAATTGACGGTTAATCCAGTGACTGGGGATAATAATGTGAAACGTTTAGAGGCCTTGTTAGCTTTAAGCGCTATAAGTCTAACATATTATTATTATTATTATTATTATTATTATTATTATTATTATTATTATTATTATGCTAAGGCCTTCCTCCATAGAGTGGACAGACCATGGCTAAATATGATTCATAATATACTGTACATACTTATATTTAGAAACTCTATTAAGTCACTATAAACCATGGTAATCATCTATATGACAATAGTTTGTGTTACTGAAAATACATATCGTTTTTCTGATGTCAAGTTATGACGTTTGAGGATTTATTATTGTTTTGGTAATCAATTTTTGTGTGTAAATTTTCGATAAATAAGAATTTAAGTGCACATAAATGAAGAATTTTTCCACAAATAGTGATATTGCATTAAAAAAAAATTGTTATGTTTTGATGTTCCAGATTAATCAAATATTTGGATGGTCTTCTGTTAAAATCCTGATTGGGACATATGCAAATATCTGTTATTTTCTTCTATAAAATTGTACATAAATGAAAGAGAAATATTGTGTTGATTTGAATTTTTGAATTTCAGATATTTATTTTCATCTTTAAAGTACATTAGTGTGAAATTAAAGATTTAATTTTATTCTTAATCGATAGATTCAGATATACAAGGAAGAATGTGAACCTATGTTAAAGGATGCCCTCGTGGGATATAACGTGACTATTATTGCCTCTGGTCAGAGCGGTAGTGGCAAGACTCATCTTATGTCGGGTACAGAAGATGATCCTGGGATTGTGCCCATGGTAAGTTTGAGTGTTTTACAAGTAGTTTGGTTGCCAACCTCAAAGTTGCGGTTTTTCATCTCATACTGTGCTTTTCCTGTGTGTCCTTAAGCGCTTTGCTTTGTTCCACTCAGGAACATAAATGCAATACCTGACTGCGTTATCCGCTACTGCCCTGATACGCCAACAGCATGTGAACCATCCATCAAAGAAAACCCTTTGTAACTCCTTGGAAAGGTACCATGCAACCAATAAATGTTTTTTCTGACAAAAGAAATATGCAACTCTATATATTAAGCAACTACTGAAATGAATGTGTTTGTTCAGCTTGGTTTCCGTAGATTCGCTCACTGGCGATAGTCACCGATAAGGTGAACGATTCTATGGAAACCGAACTTGAATCTGTGCGTCTCGCATTTTGTCACAAAACTGAGCATTTTCATGAATTACAGTTGAACTTGCCCAAGTCGAATCCAAAATGTCATTACAAAATTGTTCGACTTAGATAAAATTTGACTTTACAGATTGTTAATTAATGGAAAACACAACAATTTGGCATGTAAAATAAGTTCGACTTAGAAATTAATCGAGTTAGGCAAGTTTAACTGTATATGACAACATTACTATTCATAGTATGTATAACATTTTTTATAAAAATTATTTTGCTCTGTTTTTCAGATGATAAGAAGTCTTTTCAAGCATTTGGATTCTGATTCTAAAAAGGAATTCTTTGTGACAGCATCATTTCTTGAGGTATATATCCTATACTTACAATAGTGCCTTAAGGAGAGGAGCAGAGGATCTTAGTTGTTAAGATGCTTGCCTTCCATTCCCAGGGTCCGGAATTCGATTCCTATTTAAGTGTTGCAGGATTTTTTTCTCACTACCAGAACAACCCCACTCCTTACGGTTAATATTGAGATTTAGTCTGTGCAAAGCATTACCGTGGGTATGTTTGTCTTGGATGGTCACCTACAAGTATATATTGGCTATCCTTGGAGCATGTGTGTGCCTAAAGATAAAAAGAGATGTTCCCTTATGAAGGGTTAGAAAACATTTTTTAACCTTTGGAAAGTACCATATAAAAGAATTTTTAGGGAGCTTTCAAATTGAGACGACCTAGAGCGTAATAATAATAATAGTTCATTCTTATGTAGCGCATATAAGTAAACTCTCAGTGCACTGTACATGATGGAAATTAATTAAAAATTTGACGTAATGACATCACATTAACTGAACTGCACATGTCTGAACCTTGTGTGTTATATACTCCAGAAATCTGGAATTGTTTGGAATCTAATCTGCATTCATGCCAGAATGAGGGCTGTACTGTATTTAAACATTGGTCTTTGCGTTTGTGCCATCTCCGCGTATGCATCATAAAACGATAAAAAAATAAATAGAACATAGAATGCATGCGACGCAGTCACAGATGAGTGGAGTCGTTCTACGTTCTCCTTTTACATAACTGAAAGCTTTCTAGTAGTTATGATCTATGGCACATGCAATTAATTTCAATTTGTATTGTTAGATTATGGATGAAAACATTACTGACCTACTAAATCCGCACAGCAATGAGATGAAGATAAGACAACACCCACAAGTTGGCATGTGAGTAGCATATCGATTGCGGTTTGCCATCCCACAACCATCGTACTATCGCTAAATATTAAACTGAAGAATTAGCATAAAAATGTGGGAGTGTTGTATATTTTATTACAGAGAAGCTGTAATAATTTTACTCATGATAACTTTGGCATTAATAGTCAATTAAAGTAATGACCTGTCATTTTGTTTATAAACTTATAATGTGGAGAAATTATGAGTATATTAAAAAATCTAATTTTCTTGTTTTCGTCGCTGATGCTAATTTTTGGCATAGCAAGCCCCAATAATTTTTAATGATCATGGAGGCATGTTGGCATACAACTCAAAAAACATGGCTCAATGCTGGGTTATATATTAAATGCAAGAAAATCCATTTTGGGTGAGTGTTGGTTTCATAGCTGGTTGAAAAAAAAAAATTTGAAACTCAATTTGAAGATTTGATATAGTATTAATGATAATAACAAACGTTTATTGAGCACTTCTATTCGAGTGGAATGCTTTTGTGACCACGCCCAAAGGCCATCTCACACCGAGTCTTAGGACGGAGCTGACGCAATATATTGCCGCGGCTTGTCTGCTTGGATATTTGTGTTTCTATGTACTCTTTGTTTCGTAGCTTTGTTGACGGCCTCTCTGAGATTGTAGCTGTAAGTAGTGAGGAGCTATCTGAACTGTACAACCAAGGAAACAAGGCAAGAAAGATGGGTACATCCGATATAAGGGCTCATCGACAAAGGTATGGCATATGTCCCCAACTGTAAAATACCAATTTATTTAAAATAAATTTAATGATAGAAAATCATCAAATCATTTCTAAAAATGAAAGTACCAAGTGTGACGTCTTTCAACATTGTCTGCAAGCTCATTACTATATGTCGTACATACATCAAAATTGTTTTTTTCTACAGAGCTCATGGATTCTTTACTATCACTGTTGAACAACGAGATGAGAACAGCAGCTCTCATGGTTTAAGGTCCAAGATTCTGTTTGTTGATCTAGCTGGTGAGTAATTTCGTCACTGGTTTCCATAGAGACACAAACTTATCCATCCGATCACAATGAATGCAATGCTGCAAGTTTGTGTCTGTTCGCAAAACCAAAAATAAAATTTTTTGCAGTTGGGATGCTTTGGCTAATAAGTTTAACTCAATAATATAGTTTTACTCTTAAAAACTAGCTGAAAAGGTAGAATTTTATTTACATAATCAAAATGTCAAAAAAAAAAATTAAATTGAAAAATCGTGAATTTTTTGGTATACGTCACTTCGTGGTGTCGGTGAGGATTTATTCCCGATCTCACATATGACAGAATATAGAATGTATTTAGCTCACTAAATAGAGCACACAGAATTCCTTGTTGCTAACGAATTGTCTTTGTTAGGAAGAATGTAACTCAAGCCACTTAGTAGTGGTACAAGTCTCCCCAAATTCACAGTGGTCTTCCAGAAATCCGGAAAGCCTTCCGCGAGCAAGCAAGAATCTTCGGGAAAATAAACTGTCTCCTGCAAATTCGTGATGATTTAACAAGTTTTTGCTACTGAATTATTAATTGTCAATGAGTATCGCAACGAAATATAATTAGCTGTGTTACGAAAACTCATTTAAGCAGATCTCAATGAATTTGGTTTCTTCCTAGCCCCTGTACAGCTCATACTAACAATTAGTAGCTTCATTTCAGTAGTAAGTATGCATGTTACGGATGATCCGCACATAAGGCGAACATGAATTCAAAATGAAAAATTTTGCATGTGTTACATATATTTTAGACCACCCCCTGTTTTTTTCATCGTAATTTGCTATTTTAAGCCTCCTCTTATGCATGAGAATAAAGGTATATTTCAAAACAACATTCTATAGACAATCGGTTGATTGTTATGATTCTATACAACAAATTAAAAGAAGGGGATCATACCGTACTTTTAATTGATTATTTTTTTCCCTCAGGTTCTGAAGGTGTACAGAATAAAGACATAAGGTATGTCGAATTACAACTTCATTTCTCTCTGATATCATGTGATATTGCCAATACATCAAGATACAATACAAGCTTTTTGTATTTTTTGGTTTGTGTTGTGAATTGTTTTGAATTCAGATTTTTGTTAATTTACTGACAATTCCTCCTTGTTGATTTTGTTTATTGAATCAATTAATCAATCAATCTGTTAAGAAATTCTGTAGGAGCATATCATAATAAATTTACCATAATGCCATTTAACAGTAATGTTAGAATAGAAAGGGGAAATATTATTTGAAAAATCTAAGGCTATAGTTCTAGATATAAAACTCATTTAAAAAAAATAACACCAATATCACCATCCAGTAGTGGGTCATACATACATATTGTACATACACTACAGCACTTGTGTAGTGCTATTTCATAATTCAAACTGTTTTTTCAGGATGAGGCAATTTCTCCTGTTAAACACACATACTGTAGACCCCAACTGTTAAAGACTTTTACTTTTAGACCCTGACTGATGCTCTAGGCATGCAATTAGTTCTGACACCCAGTCATACTTGTTGAGCACCTGTAGGCAAACCTATTTGTTGATATATTATGTTGATGTATAATTGTTTTTCTTCGCAGCCTAAATGCTTTGAATGCTGTTGTAAACTCGCTTGGAGATCCACGTAAGAAGGGTGGTCATGTTCCGTACAGAGACTCCAAGATGACCAGGCTTCTGCAGGTAAACATCTGAGAAACTTATGGCTCGTGGTATTGAGATGGATAGATATTTATAACAATGTTTTTTTTTCTGGATACCCAATCAGTGTTGGGACATTGTTATTTCTTAGTGTCTAGATCATAAACGTATAATCACAAATGCAAAACAAAATTAAATGAATATATAAGAAATTATTTGAAGATTTTACAAGAAGCAAATTTATATCAGATTTTTAAAAGATTGCAAAGTAAGTGAATATATAATGCTGCAAGTGTATTTAGATTTAGCTTTTTTCATTTATGTTGTGATTATTCACTTCGGAATTGCACCTAGTAAAAGTAATAAAAATATAAATATATATATATGATAAGTGATTGGCTCACACAAACTTGATTTATTCATCCAGATGATTATGGAGGTAAAGTGAGTGTGAACCCAAAATAATTACAGTTATGTCAAACTGAGTATTTCCTATTCAATACTGACCAGGTATAGATTTAATGTTCACAAAAATTCTGGTGTACAATCTAAATTACATATCTTTTTTAATGTTTATTCAGTAAATATTTAATTTTATGTCATTTTGTCATTTTATGTTGAATCCTTTTCTTTTTATATTTAATATTTTACCTAACCAGTAACTATTATAGCTTTATGACCTAAGTTATATGTTTAAAAAAAAATTAATGGTTAAAAAAAATAATTTTAAAATGAATTCCTTTTCAGCTTTCTGTGTTTAAATGAATAAGCCCATCCATTGTGGTGTTTAAATGAATAAGCCCATCCATTGTGATAATGTTGCTTTTTTTATTAAATATTGTTGAATTTTTTTAGGACTCGCTTGGCGGCAATGCAAAGACGTTGATATTTGCTGCTGTTTCACCTGCGGACTCCAGCTATAATGAAATGGTATCAACTCTTAAAATGGCTCAGACTTGTCACAACATCACCAACAACGTCAAGAAAAATGCTGTATGTTAAACCAACAATATTTTTACAATAATTAAAGCATTTATTTATTTTTTAATCTTTAAGCTGTAAGGTACTTGCCACTGTACAGAATAGAAGTTTAAAACCAAGTCTCAATATAGGGTGTCTGTATAGAGTGTGGTGTGGCTTCTAGTCTTTAGTCAAATCCTGGTTCCAGCATCATTTGATACCAAGTACCAGGATTGTTAAGCAAGCATCTTAACCACCAAGTAACAACTTCACCCCAAAATGTGTTTTTGTTTTCTGTATTTTTTCTAGGCATTGATTTGATATTGGAATCAAGAAAAAATAAATTTTTGTTTGTTGTATGATAACATTGGTTATTTGAGAGCCAGCCATAAAAGGTAGTTTCAGGGAAGGAACACCCTCGTTATCACCATCGATAGATCTTAAAACAAAACATGTTTTAGCCATTACCTCCAAAACAAGATTTACATAGAGTGACTGGTTTGGCTTGCCTTTGCCACATATGTTGTTGTAAAGTTACACTGATGACTTTTTTAGTATGGCTGAAATTAGCAAAAACTATCAGCTAAAATGTATTTTCATCAACAAGATTCATAACTTAGTATTTCTCTTTAATGTTTGATATTGGTTATACTTCTACTCTTCTTTTTTATTGTTTGCACCAATTTTTTAAATTTTTTTTTTTTTTTGTCAGGATGACAGTTCACGAATGTTAAATGAGCTTCGAGATGAAATCTCCCGCTTAAGGGAGAAATTAGCCACCAGTAACTTGAATGATGCCACTAGCAAGGAAGATGTGATTAGAATGCAGGTAAAGTGTAAAACTCTATCCCCACTCATATGTTATAATAAAAAAATTGTTTGAATTGCCTATATGTGAGGTCTACAAAATGAGTCTCATCGTTTAAGAAAATCAAAAGATGGGTTAATATTACATTTTGGTAGATCACATTATAAGCTCTAATTTGGTCTTTGAATAGCTTCCCTAGGATAAATAGAGCCAGAGATGTTAGCATTTTAAGTTTAGGTGTATGAGAACCAGGTTTTGAGAAAATTGGCCTCAAAGATAAACTAACCTGTACAAATAATAGGACTAGAATTACAGAATATGCGAAGAGAACACTATTTTAGTAAGAAAATTCACTTTAAAGTACACAATCATAAAATATAAGTATCAAGTTATTAAAAAACATTAAAATCAAAATTTTGTAAAAATGTTGCCTTTGACCTATTTTGGTGAATATCTCAATATGATTTCACCAACGATGCGTCTCATTTCGTGGTGAGACCTCACATATAGGCGTGATGATGCCTTATCTGTGTATGGGAATAATGATGTCATATTATACCTTTTTCTTGTGTATGACAGGCAGCATCACATTTAATTACTACTTACCTATATAATGGCAACTCACATAACATTAAAGGTTGGAGAATAACCCATAACTCCAGCCTTGACACAAGCTCGTATAGAAGTATGAATAAGCACAACTCTGCTCTCATTAAAACTGTACTCTATGGACAAACCTATATTTGAGTTCAGTTTATAGTTAGTTTCATCCTGTAATAGATCTTTCAAATAAGCTCCGCCCTTTGGGTACTGTTGCTAAGGTTCCACTAAACAACATATTCCAGGTACTGTAAATGCTCAAATAAGCGCCGCTCTCGAATAAGCACAGCACTGAAACCTCCAATAATGTTGTAAGCGCTACGGTGCGTATTTGAGCGTTTACAGTATATTTGCAAGTACAAATTTAGGAGACTAGCCATTATTGTCTTCTACTGTCTACTAGTTGATCAATGGTTTGATTCACACTCCAGGAATGATTAAGGTCTGTTAATAATTGCAACGATAATTGTAAAAAGCCAAAAAGCAACTGTTCATATAGCAAAAATAAAAGAAATAAGAGAAGTTTTCACACTACCATGATTCGATAACGATTTACCGTGTATACGATACAAAATATTTTAACAAATTAAATCAATTGACGTCATAATCATGAGGAAATGATAAAATCGTTTCACTGCTACGATCGTTATCGTTGCAAGTATAAACAGGCCTTCAGAATCATGAGCAATTCATAATGTCTAACTTCTATTTTCTGTTTATCAGGGTAACCCACTTTGAGATGTTGCTCCTGGAAAATGGTTGAATTTGTTAAAGTTCATAAATATGTTAGTAAATTATTATAGAGCCAATAACAATTAACCATTAATGTTTATCCTGCCAGGCAATTTTTACATTCAGAAAAAAATGTTAATATTTTAGATGTAGAAAAAACCATGTTGCACCCTGGACAAGCACATTTTCATGTTCGTTGCAACTAGCTTAGATAAATGTTTATGCCTAAATTGGTATAAATACTTTATGGTTTGATGTGTAACGAATTTTAAAACAAAAAATGTTTGTATCTAAGTCCAGGCTGAATTGCATGTACAGACTGATCTGTAAATTTAAAATAATTTTCTGATTGTTTTTAGGATCTAATCAAAGACCTCCAGATAGCTAAAAAGCAAACTTGGGAAGAAAAAGAGAGATTGTCTGTTCAGTATGAAGAAGACAGAAAAGTAAATCTGGCAAACAAGGTAAATATAAGTACATAGCATCTTGAATCTGTTGTGGTTCTGTTCTCATGATGATTTTGCTGGGTTTTTTTTTTTTTTTTTTTTTTTT